AAGCCCTGGGTTCCCACTTTCCTCCATCCCTAGACTCTGCAGAGAGACAGATTAATTCAAGAACATTCTGTTCCATAAAAGACCATTCATTTATATATCAGAGAAAACTCCCCTTAAGGCACTTTCCCTTTGGGTAATCTTTGCTTTAGTCTTCCCCTAACTGTCTCACTGGAAAGCAAAACTGGGCCATTCTTTGCTAAAAACCCACCCTCCCAGAAGTGAAGGACTGCTACAGGCAGTTTGGCTTAGTCTGTAGTTTTTAGAATCACACCTAAATTCCTAACAAACCACTGTACACACGACATTGGTGATACCACATGCATTATGATAAGTGAAGGAATTCAGACTCAAAAGGTGACATACTGTGGTTCCATTTATGATACCCTGTGCAAAGCAAACCCAAGGGGACAGAAAACAGTGGTGGCTGGAGGCTGGGGGTTACCAGCAAGCGGCATGAGGGAATTGTCTAGGATGAGGAATTGTGAAATATGGCGGCAGCATGATTCTCTGCTTTCAGAACTCAGAGCCACACTCTAAAATGGCAGAGTTTACTCTACGTATATTGTACCTCAATAAACCTGACTTAAAAAAACATTAAACTACCATAATAATTATACTGGCTAACCCTGTTTTGGAACAAGACAAAACAAGAGTAAATATTAACTTGTGTAAACACCCCACCCACCTTTGAAAGTGGAAATTGAAATGGTCCTTCAAGTCAGGTGTGTCAAAGATGAGAATCAGGGTGTCCCTGGAAAAGGTACCTCATTTTTTTTCATTAAGTTTATTAGTACATTTTAGGTATACAATACAGTTACATTTATCATTGATATCTTGTACCTTTACATGATGTGTCTTGGTTCTTATTTTTTCCCCATTCCCCTGCCCTCCCTTCAACCCCTCTACCCTTCCCTATTTACAAAGACTTTGTTTCCATTTTTTCCTTTTCTCATGTTTTTTCTTTTCCCTTCTTTCCTTTCCCCTTACCCTCCCACTTACTCTACTCCTTTAGACCTTTTCTTCCTATTTCACATTATCAATTATACATTTTGATCCTTATTTACACTTTTAGTTTTTCATGCCAGAGAAACTATTCGGTATTTACACGTGTGTCCTATTTATTTCACTTGTGAGTATGGCCTCAATGTGCATCCATTTAGCTATAAATGTCTCTAATTTCTCATTCTTTATGGCTGAGTAGTACTCCATTTTATTAAAAAACCACATGTTCTTTATCCAGTCTCCAGTTGATGGGCAATTGGGCTGTTTCAAAGTTTTAGCTATTACAAATTGTGCCACTATAAACGTGGGTAAGCATATATCACTGTGGTATGATTCTCTTAATTCTTTTTGGAAGATACCCAGCAGAAGAATTGGTGGGTCAAATGGGACCTTCAATCCTAGTTTTTTGAGGTATCTCCATATTGATTTCCACAGTGGTTGCACCAGTCTGCACTCCCATCAACAATGGAAAAGTGTTCCTTTCTCCCCACAACCCTACCACCATTTGTTATTGGTTGATTTCTTGATAGCAGCCATTCTTTCTGGGGTGAGGTGGAGTCTTAGTGTTATTTTCATCTGCATCTCTCGAATGACCAGTGATATTGAACATTTTTTCATATATTTATTTGCTGCTTTTACTTCTTTGTCTGAGAAATGTCTGTTCATTTCAGATGCCCATTTTTCATTTGGGTCTTTGAATTTGGGGGTCTGATTTTTTTCAGTTCTTTATATATTCTTGATAGTAGACCTTTGTTTGAGGAACAGCTCGTAAATATTTTCTCCCACATTGTAGGTTGTCTCTTAGCTGTGTTGGTAGTTTCTCTTGCAGTGCAGAAGCTTTTTAATAAGAGGAGATCCCAGTTGTTGATTCTTTGTGTTAGTTCCTATGCTACTGACAATTTGTTCATAAAGTCTTTCCCTATGCCAATGTCTTCAAGAGTTCTACCTAACTTATCTTCCAGCAAGTTTAGTGTTTCTGTTTTAATATTTAGATCTTTAATCCACTTCAATTTTAGTTTAGTGCATGGTGAAAGATAGGGGTCTAGTTTTAATTTTCGGCAAGTTGAAATCTAGTTTTTCCAACACCATTTATTAAAAAGGCTATCTTTCCTCCAGTGAGGGTGGTTGGCTCCTTTGTTAAAGATGAGGTAGCTGAGTATGTCTGAAGTTGTTTCTGCATCTTCTAATCTATTCCACTGATCCTTGGGTCTGTTTCTTTTCCAGTACCATGCTGTTTTTATCTCAGTGCCTTTGTAGTATAGTTTCAAGTTGAGGATTATGATAGCCCCTGCCACGTCTCTATTGCCTAGAATTGCTTTTGCTATTCTAAGTCTAGAAGGTGCCTCATTTTGAAGGGAGTGTAGACATATGCAGAATTCTTACTCATACTTACTGAGCTTTCCCTTCATTTTTTCAGCAGTGTTTGTGTTCATGCTTCCTAGGAGCCAGACATAAGGCTGAGCAATCCAGAAGCAACTGTGGAACAAATCAGAGCTGCTTCCTGTGAGGGGCACATGGTCTAGTGCTCTTGGCAGGTAGAGGTGCTGCAGAGAAGTAAAGCATTGGTAACAAGACAGGGAAGCTTTGGCAAGGACATTGACCTAAGTCCTACTCAGGAAGAGCAATGACTCTGAGGACATGCATCCCTGAAATGTGCACATACAGATGCCCAAAGAAGAGAGAAAGACATTTTGTAAAACTGCCAGGTGCTCATTCTTTTAGACCATGGAGGCCAAGGATGGGGTGTGCTATGAATAGAAAATAGACAACTCCCTTCTGCTATCTGCTCCCAACACAGATCACTTCTGTGACCCCAAAGTTATTGGGAGGAAGCAAGCAAGCAACTCCACACCAGCCACCAGCTGGGCATCCTCCCATTCCATTTAATTCTAACCCATCCACCTGGAAATAGCATCAGATCGCATCAGACTGTCCCCATGTCAGACAGCAGTAGAATATACAGGTCTCTGGAACTTCTGCCCAACTACCTATCAATTGAGGTTCTCATGACCTCTTCCCTGGGTTTTATTAATTTGCTACAGTGACTCATAGAATTCAAGGAACCTCACTTATAAGATTATTATAAAGCACGCTACAAAGAACACAGATGAAGAGACTCACAGTGTGAGGTAGGGGAAAGGGGAACAGAGCATCCATGCCCTGCTGGGTGCACCACCCTGTAGGAACCCCCATGGGTTTGGCTATCTAGAAACTCTCTGAACTCCTCCTTTTAGGTTTTTTGCAGTCTTTATTGCATGGGCATGATTTAAGCATGGAAAAGCATGTAGAAAGGAGCTTGGACAAAGGGGGTCTGATCCAATGCTGATAGACTGGGAAGGAAAACCCAGCAGGGGCCATTCTTCTTGGCCTCTCTGTACAGTTTTCCTCCCTCCTCCAGGTGGGGCAGGAGCCCTCTGAAATGAGGAGGGTCTTATCATCTACCATCCAGTTAGTTAGGTCAGAGAATTTCTTTAGGCCTCTCAAATAGAAAGCTGGAGGAAATTAGCGTTTCTATGACCCACTTTGGGGAAGAGAAGTTTCTGTGGCCTGCTTTAAGGAAGGAGTTATGAGTTGTAAGCCAGGAACCATGGGGAAAAAAACCAAAAACTATCACACTAGCACAAGTATCTTCCTCTGTCCTCCTTCCTTTCGCCACTCTGAGGACTTACTGTGAAGAAATGCAGGCTCCAAAGTGAAGACAGCTGCCATCATAATTAAGGGTTCTCAGAAGATTTAGATGTTTAATAAAAATCTTTGCTTAACAAATGAAGAGATCTCACATTAATAAATCCAAAGCTCCTCGGGCTTCCTAATTTTTTACTTGTTTTAACCTGGGTCTATGATACTTTTTGCACTGGTACAAAGGAAAATTTGGATACCAAACTGGGACTTACAACAGCAAATAACAAGACCAGCCCTAGAACCTCCCCCTGGCTGCCCTCAGTCTTTTGATTGATTGATTACTATATGAAGACTGAACCCAGGGCTTTCACACTGAACTATACCCCAAGCCCTTTTATTTATTTATTTTATTTTAAATTGCCCAAGCTGGGTTGAAACTTGTGATTCTACTGCCTCAGCCTCTTAGAGTGCTGGGATTATAGACATGCACCACCATACCCACTGATCCCTTCAGTCTTAACCATCTCACCTTAACCCCCAAAATTAGTTTATCTTCTTCTTTCGGGGAGGCTGTTCCAGGGAATCCAAGAAGTCATTTCTGTGGACTTCACTATTGGGCCAACTTTCTGAATTATATAGAAAACAATTTTTAAATTGTCAGAGTATATTTTCATATCTGTGCTAAAATACCTATATAATCACCATATGCTATAGGGAGGGATTGAAAAGCCAGCTAAAACATCTAATCCCCAACAGGACACCATATAGAATCCCAAGAACCCCTGGGCTAACAGCAGCTTTGACCACTCTGTCACTCAGGGCTACTTCCATATGCCATTTACCTGTATCCATTATGAAGTTGTCCTTTCCTGGTCTCAGAAGGCCCTGGTTTCTGGCTTTTTGGCAGCATTAATTCTAATTCTCAGTACCCAAGCAACTGGCTTGATTTCAAACATGTGGCTATTTCTGAGATTCAGCCACTGGGTAAATGAAATTTCAATGTCTCATCATTTCTCTGTTTGTGGTGGTAATGAACATGAGCATGGCTCCTATGTATCCATCTTCTTACTAGCTGTGGGCAAACTTGTCATGCTTAGTAACATGAATGGGAGTGGGAGATCATTCCTTCTAAAATACTGAGATCTTGGACCCTTTCCTACAAAGGAGAACCCTAGGACATCATAAGATTCCTTCTACTCAAGCCCTTGAGCCCAACAAACCAGGCCCAGCCACTGACTACACCTCTTCACTAATGCTTCTCCCCAGTCAAGGGGAAAGGAGAAAGAATTAAAGGGAAAGGGGCCCTGTTTCTATGGCAGGGGAAGGAAGGTACCTGAAAATTACTGACCAGGGGAATGGGGGATTTGCTCTTCCAGGGTTACCTGTCAGAGGGGTTGGTGACAAAGTGGTACCGCTCTCCACGACTGCTTCTGTCCCCCAACAACTATACAAAAGCCATCGACATGTGGGCAGCCGGCTGCATCCTGGCCGAGATGCTCACCGGGAGAATGCTCTTTGCTGGTAAGTTAATGACTGTACCACTCCTTTCTCTTTTGGTGACCTTGTATTAAAAGGAAGAACTGGGTATAAGACATGTGCTAATCTAAAACTTGGTACTCTGTGATTGAAATGACTTCTTTGAGTTTTATGGCATTTCCTGGAAGTAACAGTGTAATTTCAGGTATAAAATAATTTAAAATCAAAAATTAGCCCTTTGAGTGCAGAACTTTTGCAATCAAGTAATCATTGTGCATGTGTTGAATGCTTGTGTCCCCTTTCTGTTTAGAAAACTCCTACTAAAGCTTCAAAACCCAGTTTGTGTCCAGTCCTCTGTGACATCTTTCCTAACTCCCCAGGGCACGTGTCACCCTTTCGGTGCTCCCATAACACTTCATACTCTCATTCCCTCTCTCTTTGTTGGAAGAGCACCTGCTCTCTTCCTTTGCTCTCCTCCAGTTTTTCCTCACTCTCCTGTGGTACACCTCATACTCCCTCCACCCATGGAAGCTGCTCACCCAGACTACAGACTGGGCTCTGTTCTTAATACACCCAGTTTAACCTCCTCCTACAGGACTGCCAGTGATGACTGTCCCCTCTCCCATGGAGATGCTATCCTTGGGCTGGCAACCTCCTCCCTGATCTCTGGACACACAGGCAGCTGCTTCTCACCCCACTTGTTCCATGTCCTCTGCATTGTATCCCTCCCACCCTCCTCAGATTTCTATCCTCAGCCTTAAATGCTGCTGTCACTCACTCACAGAATTCTAACCCACCTCTTGCACCTCAGGCTGACTTGGCAGGAACAGTAGAGGCTTTTACTGTTGGAGGACCACAGCAATTCTCATCTGCCTGCATATACTGAGGCCCCAAGATCCTAACTCCCCTCATTGCAAAGGAGGCAGGGAAAGCAAATAGCTGGTGGTGTTCTTTATGGCATGGCAGCACACTCCCCCCAGCAGGGAAAAGGTGGAGAACCCCAACAGCAGGGTCCTCCTATCTTTCAGAGTGACTTAGTAGGCTCAGAGTGCAACTATGCCTCTCCTAAGTGTTATCTGTCACCAAGGATCATCCCAGGGTAATTAGAACATAAATCTTCCACAGAGATTTATTTCATCAGCTTCTCTGAGAGAAAGTCACTGTGCCCCAGCTCCCAGAAGTCAGGGAAGCCAAGATTGATTAAGCACCTACTAAGAGCCAGGAGCCTTCGAAGGCCATCAGATTGAGTTCCCGACACTGGTCATTCCAAGTGTCAGTGGTCATCCTCATCCCGCAAGGAATGGGAGAGAGGTGGGGAGCTGGGTCTGCCTTCAGGGCTGTCTGCCACCAAAACTTCTGCTTTCTGTTTCACCATGTGGATTGCTGGGACCCACTGGCTGCCCCAGCATGACATCACTGATCCCTGGCAGGAGAGGATGAGAGAATGTGGGCGGGGGAGGGGGGATAGTGTTCTCCACCTACTCACCCCTGTGGCTGAAGAGAACTCCAAGCAGGAGGCTGCACATCACTGGTCTGTGTGTCCTAAAGAGGAGTCGGAGTCTTGTGAGCAAGGTCTCAACATCTCTGTCTGCAGCTTGATTGCCCACTGACCTCATGATCCCTTGGTGAGAGATCTGGGGTGCTTTTCTGGGTAGCAGACCCCACAAGATGCTCCGTAAGTCCAGTGCAGGGAGAGGCTAAAGAGATCCCTTCGGGATAGACCCTGATACTGTTGGCATTTGCTCAACAAACATTCAGGGCACTTGGACATGCTTAATGTCACACAGGGCATCGTGGGAGGACGTGGGAGGATCCTTACCCTAGGCTACCAGCTTCTGGAAGCCTCGGGTCCTAGTGGGGACCAGCAGATCTGCAAGTGGATGGTCTTGAGAAAGGAGAGCATGGCTGAGGATTCATGCAGGCAGCACCAAGTAGAAAGGACTCTTAGGCCTAAGGGGAGCAGATGGAAGTAAGACCAGCCTGGTGTCAGAGGAGGGCACACGGAGATGGCTCAGACCAGCACCAGCAGTGGTGCAGTGGTGCACTGCTGATGCCATGGTCAGCAGTTGCCTGGAAAAGGAGCCGAGTTGCTGAGACACACAAAGACTAAAGATTCCTGTAGAAGAGAAGGGTCTTGTTCATTCCCAGCAGCCAGCAGATGCCTGGTGCAGAGAAGGTGCATGACATGCAATGGCTGGATGAATGAGCACGCGAAGGGATGTCTGGCTCTGTCCTGTCGCCCACACTGGACATGGCACAGCTCGTCTGTCCCCTCAGCCCAAGGAATGGAGGCAGAGTGCATCCTAAACCCAACTGGTCATTCCTGGTGTTTTTTCTCTTGAGAGCGTCTAGATGAATCCTACTTGGACACTAAAGGGGAGAGTTCATTCCTAGCCTTAACAATAGTTTGAGTGTGCAAAGAGGCATATGGGAAGGAGCACTCGGGAAGCCTTGGCCAGGCTGCTCCCATCACTTTAGTGCTGGCTGACTCAGTCTCCATCAGACTGGCCTGTTCCAGAGGCATGGAAGGAGAGGAGAATGGATGGGGCCTCTCAGAGACCATCAGCTTCAACCTCTTCCTACATTTGACAAAGCCAAGCCCCAGAGACAGCCAGCAACCTGCCACAGTTACACAGCAAGCTAGTAGCAGAGTGAAACCAAAATCCCCGGTCCCCTGGTTCCCAGCCCAGTGCTGCCCCACTGCCCTTTGTTACACCTCTACCACCACCCCCTCAGGGCAGCTGGTGCACATCGGGGCTTCTGCACACTGCAGCCACTCAGGCAGCACACTTAACCACGTGGCATCTGTCTCCCCAGGGGCTCATGAACTGGAGCAGATGCAGCTGATCCTGGAGACCATCCCTGTGATCCGAGAGGAGGACAAGGACGAGCTGCTCCGGGTCATGCCATCTTTCGTCAGCAGCACCTGGGAGGTGAAGAGGCCACTGCGAAAGCTGCTCCCTGAAGTGAAGAGTGAAGGTACCTGAGCCCGGCAGCCAGGCCAGCATCCTAAGAGGCTGAGCTCTGGCTTGACATCGAAAGGCAGGGGCAGGAGCAGGACGGTCTCCCTCGAAAAGGGTAGAGCACAGTCCTTGAACACAGAACTCAAGGCTCCCTGGCAGGGGCACTTGGCCTAGCTACCAGTCATCATGTTGGTGCTCAAAAAGTTTCAGGTTACCTGAGCATGATGGTGCACACCTGTAACCCCAGCACTTTGGGAGGCTGAGGCGGAAACATCACAATTTAGAGTCCAACCTAGGCAACTTGGTGACTCAGTGAGACCCTATGGCAAAATAAAAAGTAAAAAGGCTGGGGATATAGCTCAGTGTGAAGGCCATGGTTTCAATCCACAGTACTGAAAAAAAAGTTTCAGATTTTGGAGCATTTCTGATTTCAGATTTTTGGGTTAGGGATTCTCAACCAGTAAAGACTGTGCAAATATTCAAAAACTTGAAAAAATTCTGAAATCTGAAACACTACTGGTCCCAAACATATTGAATAAGGGATATTCAACCTATACTTTCAAGATATGAATTACTGGCTTCTAGAGTAGTCCTGTGCTTGCTTTGGCAGCATATATACTAAAATAGACTGCAGTCATGGGGCAACCTCAAGGTAATCCTTGTTTTGGTTCCTTTTTTCTCCTCTTTCTCACTTGCCTTCTCCCTGCTATTCCTTCATCCCCCCCTTACTGTTTTCCCACAGAAGGGATGACATAGTGCAGAGGACAGGAGCTTTCTCTGCTTGAGGGTCACACTCAGATTCAATTTCCAGTTCTACCAGTTGACTGTATGATCTTAGGCAAGTTTGCTGAATCCAAGTTTCCTTAACTATAAAATGGACAGATGAATTAAAATAGAATTGGCAGCACCTTTTCCATAGGACAGTTGCTGCATAAATCTTAGATGTCAGTATTATCACTAGGTTTAATACCTGCCAAAAATCTTCTTAAGGAAATTCTCATATTAGCATATAGGTTCAGCCAATTTGAGAAACCCCAATTTTCAATGGCATAAATAAAATTTATTTCTTATTTTTAAAAAAAGTGAAGAAGTTTATTTCTCACTCACATAGTAATCCAAAGGTAGATGGTCCAGAGCCAACATGGTGGATGTGCTTTACAAGGCCATCTAGGCACAAGGCTCTTCTGTCACGTACTGCCAGGTTAGGCTATTGCCCTCAACCCTCCAGAAAAAGGGAGAAAAACACAGTAGGTCCCTTCCCTTGAGGTCATGAGCCAAAATCTGCCTCACTTCCACTCACATCCTATTTGCTAGAATTTAGGCACATGACCTCACCTAACTGCAGAGCAGGCTGGGAAATGGATATTACATGCCATTTTGTATCCATTATTATGAAGGAAGGGAACATTTTTCTTTGTTTTTACTTTCTTTTTTATTAGCATCTGTTTGTAATATATAATGATTACATTCGTCTCAGAGAATGAGTGCATGTACATATTGCATCTTAATCAGTTTTACTTGCTTTTCCCCTTTCCACCTTCCTGTCTCCCATCACACATCTCCCTTCCATCTCCACAAACTCTACCTCCCTGTTTCCTATCATCTATTTTTTTATTTTTCTCTTTAAGTTGTATATATTTTTCATTTTTCCTATAAGACAAACCATGCAATATTTAACCTTCGTGTCTGATGGAAGGAAACATTTGTATATGGGGTAAAAATCTCTGCCATATTCCTTCCCCATCAAGAAACTAAGATCTTGGACTTGGAACATCTTTGGCTATGACCCCCATTCAATCAGTAAACTACCTTAGTTTTCCTGTCAATCCAGGGGGAGGATGATATTTGACTTACAACAAATTCAATCTCTGCCCATCCACATATACTTTGATTTCTAGGGCTCCACAGAAAGTCCACCATGTGTCAAGAGCTGTGTTCACCTCTCAGAAATTCTGGATCAGAGATGAGTCACCCACATCATCCTTCTCCACGCAGCCACAGACACAGCAGCCCCTTGGTGACTTGGCTCTGAGAGGCACTGCCTTGGAGAAATTAGAGTAGGTCCCGGATTAGAAGATAAAGCTCCTTGCTGTTATCTACCAACATTTCTTAATCCACTATGACTAGAAAATTGCATTAGGGACAGAAATCAAAAGGATTCAACACAGTCTAGACTCTAGATAGAAGACAGGGAAGTCATCAAAGATGAGTATGACTATTAAGGAACATAATCTAGGGACTGTAGAGCATCTAAGGATTTGAGGAGGGTAGGAGAGCCACCAAATGCTGAGAAGGCCAGAGAAGCTGGCCTTGGGGAGGTGGGAGGGGTCCGCTCAGTGAGAGGGTCATAAAGCTGCATGCAGCAAGTGAAGCTGAGAGATTAGAGAAAGCCACAGGGCTGGAGGTCTCGAATGTCCAGCTGCTGACTGGACCTGGTCCTGTAATTGACCAGATGTCCCCTTAAACCCAGCTGGCTTCACTTCCCAATGTGAAGCTTCAACAAATGTTCTCCTTCTGCCTCTCACCTAAAAAATGACCCCAACTGGGCTCTGGCCTTGGGGTCATGAGGCATCATTGAAATGGGCTGTCAATGGGAGAAAAGCACTGCAAGCCATCCAGGCCAGAGAAGCCAGCAGTGCACCACTGAGGACCACTGCCTCTGCTATACATTCCACATCCCAAAGGCCAGAAAGGGGGCCCAAAGTCTGCCTTGCTGTAACCTCAGAGGCTCAAGAACTCAGTCTAAGGCATGGTGGTACACGCCTGTAATCCCAGCTCTTGGGAGGCTGAGCACAGGAGGATCACCACGAGTTCAAGACCAGCCTGAACTACAAAGGGAGACCCTGCCTCAAAAACAACAAACAAAAAAGAACTCAGTCTAGGTGACAGCACCCCTCAGTAGCCAAAATGACCATCATATGACAGGTGCGGGACAAGGGAGGTAGGCCCCAAGACCACATTGGGAGTGTCCAGTTTGATATATTTACCCAAGTAAAATCTGATGAAGAAATCAAATTACGAAATAGGGAGAGGGGGTGCTCCAGATGAAGCAGGGGAGAGGGGCTCAGGCTCCAGCCCACCTGCCTCTCAATCTCCACAGGTGATTCAGGAATCCTTCCAGAACACTTGGGGATCTCTAGGGGAAAGCAACAATATCGTACAGAAGCCTTATTATATGAGAAAAACCCTGTCGGAGCTCCAGTGGCGCAATCGGTTAGCGCGCGGTACTAATATATGAGAAAAGCCTTAAAATCTGGGTGCAATGGGGCCCAGAGAAGGGTCAAAGGCCCAAAGAAGGAACAACTTGGCTGGACCACTGTGCTGGGCCTTGCTCTAGAGTGCCTGATCCTTCCACTCCTGAGAATTTGTGAGGTGTTTTTCCTGGTCTGCAGCCTAAGACCCAGAAACCCACTCTGAGCTTCAGGGAGCGATCGAAGCTACTGCTGCTTATCTAATCCTTCAGCCAAGAGATATTCAGCTGTGCTTCAGCCTCCTGGGATGCTGGTGACCTTCTGAATCCACTGATTTGCTGAATCACTGATGACTTTTCCTGCAAAGAGATCCAGGGCTGGTGTTAGGGGCAGGTTAGCTGTGCAGGATAAGCCCATGAGGGAACTCCCAAGGGGCTTGGCAGCCCAGGCTCAGAGCTCAGCTCCATTTCACCCCACCATGTAGGCTGGACATGGACCTTGCAAAGACTGCCATGCTAGGAAGGAATACAAACCTCCCACCAGTCCTTGCCCTGAGATAGCCCAGGCAGAAGGACTCCTGCCCAGCTCAGGAGAAAGGACAGCAGCACCAGCCCTGTCAGCTGCTAAACTCTACACTTCCATGCTGGTTGGCAAATAGCCACTGCACAAGGCTTCCACGTGTCCCTCCCCCAGGTTTCTACAGCCTCAGCACTTCCCTGGATCTTAGCCACTGAAGGTTCCTGGCACAGCAAGGCTTCAGCCTGGTTGCTCAGCATTTTGAATATCAATTAAGCCTGTGTCTCCGTCTCTGAAACTCCGTCCTTCCCCTCCACATTCCCCTTTCTCACCAAAGCTTACTCCACACGCTCTGGGCAGCTCTCAGTCCATGCCTAGGGGTGGGTGAGTGTGAGACCAGCTTCCCTGCCCCTCAGGTAGCCACCTATGAGATGTGTCCCACACTGTCTCCAGGAGGATTCCAGTGGAACTGAGACCCTGGAGCTGAGGCCTGCCCTGGAGTGCCTGATCCTTCCAGACCTGAGAATTTGTGGGGCAGATCCTCTTCCAGGAGTAACCTGCTCATTACTAAACCTTGTACTGCCCTTTCTCAACCCTACCAGTGCTTGAGATAAAAATAGCTTTTCACAAAGGCAAAAGCACACAGGGCCAGGAATGTCACCACAGTCAGGGGCCTCCCTTCTCAGCTTGGCAGGAGTAACACCTGACCTCCATGTGCCCCTCTGTTCCCCACAGCCATTGACTTTCTGGAGAAGATCTTGACCTTTAACCCCATGGACCGCCTGACCGCTGAGATGGGGCTGCAGCACCGCTACATGAGCCCATACTCATGCCCCGAGGATGAGCCCACCTCTCAACATCCCTTCCGCATTGAGGATGAGATTGATGACATCGTTCTGATGGCCGCTGACCAGAGCCAGCTCTCCAACTGGGACAGGTGCAGTCCAGGGCTGGAAGCTGCATGCCCCTGTCCCCTCATTTTCATTTTGCCTCCAATCCTTTGTAGCTTTCCCCCTCTGTCTCCTCAGTTGTGTTGCTTCCTGCCTTTCTCCTCTACCCAGGCCTTCCCAGAAAATGACTTTTGTGTGCTACAGGTATGGGTCAGGGCCTTCTTCTCTGTAGCACAGCCATTCCTGGGTCTCCCCAGGACCCTCAGCCTATGGAGCACGGAGTTAAATACTCCCTTCTAGCAGACTAGGGATTTGCCCTTGAAAAGCCAAATGCAACAATGCAAGTCGGAAAAGCTGCACAGTTTAGCATTACAAAACACTCATTTTTCTCATCAGTTGCACCTCCTGAGAATGTCAGTGAAGGTTCATTATTATCATTGCCTGTAATGAAGCTACAACTCAGAGAGGTCAAGAAACTGGCATCATGTCACAGCAATTATGTGTGGAGTCCTCCCTGAACTACATCTGTGTTGGGCACTGCTAAGCAATTATAAAACTTTTCTTTGCTAAACCAGGCTTTGCCTCAAGATCCTTGACAAGGTTCCCCAAGAAGCCACTACCAATGAATCAATGTTGGGTAGAAGATACATTTTTAAACCATTTCTGCCTGGGCACGTAATGATCTCATAGATCTGTTCCTGTTCTGACGTTCTTAGATCAGGCAGCTCCACGTTTGGGCACTGCCATCTGCTAATTCTGGGAGGCAGTGCCAGTCAATGCTCCATTTAGAAATAGCAGTGGAGGGCTCTGCAGCTACAACTCTGAGGGGGCCTAACCAGGAGCCCCACTGCCATGGGAATGTGACAGCTAGTTATATAAGTGACAGATGAGCAATTTCTCCTTTTTAGTCATTTGACAGATGATGGGCTTCAGATTAAGGAGGCACTGAGGGAGGGCCCAGGCAGCATTGCTATTTTTGGACAGGTTTGCTGGTTTGTTGTTGTAGATTGTTGTTTTCAAGTGTTACTGGCAAGCAGGGATTAATGGAGATTCTTATGCCACCCCATGCTTCCCTGCCTTGAACTGTCTTCCTCACAGTGCCTCCCCTTACATGCCACAGAATTTAGGGGCACAAAGCATTGGATTAGCCAGGTTCATCCTATACTGATCATGGCTGTGGCTGAGGGTTGGTGCCAGCAAAAACTAGGAGGGTTGCTGCCTATCAACTCTGGTCAACACTAAACCTATTATACCTGTACTCCTGACCTTCCCCCTCATACTTGTATGAAGGACAAAGATGACAAAGGTCATGACAGTCCCTTCCTACAAGCCCTATTGCTGTGGGCATTACTTTACCTCTTGGCATGCAAATTTCCTCACCTATAAAGCAATAGTGGTAATAGGTTGCTGGGAAGACTACAGATAATGTAAACTCAGCACTTGGCCTCTGGTAGCCAAAGTTTGGGTCTTCATATACCCTTCATCCTAGAAATCGCTAGTCTTGAGGTCACTTGAGGCAGGGGGCAGAGCTGAGTTCTAGAGGCAATTCCTACCCTGGTGGCATCCCCAGGAGATGGGCATACTTCCCACGCCTCTCTAGCCATAGTCTGTGGCCTGAAGCTGCCTGGCCTGCCCCTTCACACAGCCAGCCCTGCATGTCCTTGGCTTATGTCACTGACTTGTGTGTGCACCAGGTCTTCTGCTCAAGGAGCAGCTGGCCAGGGGCTGCTAACTCCTCTGTGCGTGCTCCCCTCACACCCATCCTGACTCTGCACAGAGCACCTGGCACCAAGAGGGAGGACTCAGCCAGACCTGACACCTGCCCGCCTGCCCAGCTGCCCTTCGTTTGTTCTCACCTGTCTGACTTCACTTTCCATGGCTGCAGGGCAGTCGGCAGAGGGCAGAATTCCAAGGAGCTCTGACCTCTCCTGGTGGTGTCTGTGGCCTCTCTGTAGGCCCCACCTGCTCTGTGTGTTTGGTGTTGATGCACAGTGCTGTCTGATCCAGAGCTACTGGGACTGGGGTTCTCTAACCCCCAGGAGGTTTTACAGATATGCAGATACAGCTCCCTGCCCTGGACCTACCAAGTCAGAATTGAGCTGGGGATGCAGTAAGGCAGGCCTGCTGCTTCATTTTTAATCCCCCCATGTATTTTAATCTGAGCCATGGTGGGCCTTGCTACTCAAAAGTGTGGTCCAAGGACCAACAACATCAGCATCCTGTTAGAAATGCAAATTCCATGCTCCTCCTCAAAGGTGCTAAATCAATTCCACACTTTAACAAGAATCCCCAGGTGATGTGTGCACACAACCGTCACACTTGAGGAGCATTAGATCCATTAGAACGCTCCCCAAGGACAGGGGCTTTTTCTGTTTTGTTGATAGCTGAATCTAGTACTGCCTAGAACAGTAAGTGCACATAGTGGGTACGCAAGTAATATTTGTAGGGTTTTGGAATGAATGCAAAAGAATACAAGGGTTAAGCTGAGCAATCAGTCCTTCTAGTGAGTCCTTCAAGACTCACTTTTACCTGCGCCAGAGCGCTGGGAGGACAGAGGCAGAAGGGACAGAGGAAGGGAAAGCAGCTTGAGGGTGGCTGGGAGGGAAGCTCCCACCACCGATTGCTTGTACCATTGCAGGTACCCTGTGAGTCTGTCGTCAGACCTGGAGTGGCGGCCCGACAGGTGCCAAGACGCCAGCGAGGTGCAGCGCGACCCACGCGCGGGCTCGGCGCCGCTGGCCGAGGACGTGCAGGTGGACCCGCGCAAGGACTCACAGAGCAGCTCCGAACGCTTCCTGGAGCAGTCACACTCATCTATGGAGCGCGCCTTTGAGGCCGACTACGGGCGCTCCTGCGACTACAAAGTGGGGTCGCCGTCCTACTTGGACAAGCTGCTGTGGCGCGACAACAAGCCGCACCATTATTCCGAGCCCAAGCTCATCTTAGATCTCTCGCATTGGAAGCAGGCAGCCGGTGCGCCTCCCACAGCCGCAGTGGCGACAGACGCGGTGGCGCACGAGGACGAGCCAGCCAGCCTTTTCCTGGAGATTGCGCAGTGGGTCAAAAGCACGCAGGGCGGACCCGAGAGCGCCAGCCCGCCCCACCCTGGCCCCGAGCGCCGCCGGTCCCCCTCGCCCTCTGGCTGCCCAGCCCCGGTCGATGGGGTCGCAAGTCCCCAGTTCGACTTGGATGTGTTTATCTCGCGCGCCTTGAAGCTCTGCACCAAGCCTGAGGACCTGCCAGACGATAAGCTGGGCGACCTCAATGGCACGTGCATCACTGAACACCCTGGCGATCTCGTGCAGACGGAGGCCTTCTCCAAAGAAAGGTGGTGAGGCCAGAGGGGGCGCTCGCGGCCCCTAGCAGGAAGCCACCCCAGGAAACCGGGCCTGGCCAGAGGGGCCACCTCCCTGGCACTTCCACCACCCCTTCTGCCCCTCTCTGCTGCCTTGGGGTTAGCAGAACACATGAAGGATCCGAGGAGCGAGAGGAATGTCCATTTCTTAAACTGCCTTAATTACCAGCCTTTAACTCTGGGAGCAGGTTTGAACAGGAGCCTGGCTGGGACTTAACCACTTTCCCAGCAAAGGGGAGGCCTTGTGTTTTGTAAGTGGCAGGGCATGGGGAAGAAATGAGTCTTAGACAACAGTCTGCAAACCCCGCCTGGATGGCTGGGTGCAAAGGCAGCTTGCAAACACAATTGTGAAGCCATCTGGCCCACCAGCCTCAACTGACAGCTGAGGAAGGACACTTAGGCCCTGACTTGCTTAGGATCACAGGGCCTACTCAGTGTCAGGGTGAGCCTTGAGTCCCAGTTTCCTGGCCCCTGGACCAGTGTCTGTCCCCAGTATCATGTCTTCCTCTGCTAGGGTCACTCTGGCTTTTTTTGGTCAGAAAACTTGGTCCAAGATGTTTCTGCCCTGTCCATTACCATCTGATCCATCCGATGTTCTTTAATTCAGAGCAATGTTACTTGTATTCTTAAATTGGAAACTGAATCAGTTTCTCCTAGTCACCAAGCATATGTTTACTGGCTCCCCAAATGCTTAGATGTTCTCATCTGCCACTCCCCTGTATTTGCCTCATCTCTGCATGGTCTGAAATCTTTGTTTCAGAGCAGAGCAGTGTAGGGTCCTGGGTAAAGTTGGTCATTCTCCCAGGCCTGTGTGTACACCTCCAGCACACCCTATGCACTTTCCTGACATGCACAAAGACACAGTCCTTATTCCCCAGTTGATGTCGTTCATGGTGAGTTTGAAGACAGCCATTCCAGGAATCCCTCCACCCAATCCCCCAGCATTCACCTGCTCCATCCACCTACACAGAGCTCCTCTCCAAGCCCACCTGGGCTTGGAAAGTTCTCGGAACAAATTGCTCATTTGGAGGAAAATAATGAGGTACCTGCCACAAAGCAAACATGTTAGGAGGGAAGGTTTCACGTGGGACCTGTCATCCCTCATTAATACTGCCCTCGATTTTGACCATCTAGTTAGCATTGGCTGAGAGCAGGCCTTAAAGAAATGCATTGGTGAACTGGCAAACTTGGGGCAAGGAACTCAGAAAGGTAGGAAAGGTGACAACCAAAGCTCCCCCTAACATGAGCTTGGAGCACTCAGGCCCTCTGCAGAAGCATGGGTTGGGGTCACTCATAGCCCCCGTCCAATCCCTGGAACTTTGCCATCGGTGTCCATCTCTTTACCCTCCCCCAGCACCCCCAAGATACCCACAGGAAGTCTAGCCAGCCTGTAGGGAGAGGATTCCCCCAGTGCAGAGCTTGGGCTGTGTTCACTCTCACATCACAGCACTTTAAATTCGATCAGCAAGCTATCATTTGTACTTTGAAATCAACAACATGTTAGAAACTTATATTTAAAAACAGAATTAATCACACTGATCAGTTTTTAAATGGAAATATGTAAATATGAAGAGTTTAGGCTTTGCTTCTTTTTTTAAGAAAGGAAATGTACACCAGTCCTCATGTGCCATTGTTTCCTCAGAGTGTGGCTTTACTTTAGGTAAAGGAAAAAGCTGCTGACTTTGACCATATATAACTGTCATTACAGAGAAATTGTTATAACTACTCATGTTTTTTTTTAAAATCTATTAAACATTATTAAACTTGATCAGGATGGGCCAAATAAAGTTTTATTGGAACATAGATTCATTTATGTATTCTTCCATTTATTTAAGTCTTATCTGCTCCTATCTTTGACAGTGGTTAATTCACTGGAAGCAAGCAAGCTTCTCTTTGTACTCATGAAGGCCAGTGTTTTGAGGAACTGAAGATGGGAAGTGGGGAGGGGAATCTGGAAGAGAGGACTCTATATAGACTGGTAAGCAGGAGGTGACTGGAGTCATGTGGTGAGGCCTCATGTCCATAGCTATGGATCTCTAACCTATTCCTGGAGTTAATTTCAACCTTCCTAACCAGGCCTGGTGCTTCCCCCTAATCACAGAAAGTGCCAGTAACATGAGATTTGAAAGAACTAACCTTCCAAAATTCCAATCTGAGCCCCATCCCGAGGTGTCTGAGATTCTACTAAACTGAAGCTCAACCCTCTCATATCTGTGTCCACATGGTAGCCCTAACTTCTTTTGTTATTCAACAAATACAGGTAATAGAGTTTTAAATCTTTGTTTCTGTTTATTTTGACTTCCCAGAAAGACCTTTAGGTTAAAGAACTTACTACTATTGAAATGCACCTGAGCCAAGATGAACAAGCTGTTAAGCTATTTATCAGATTCTCTCCCAAGTGTCAGCTGATAGTAGAATAGTCCCTCTTTATCCACTGTTGCAATTTCTGAGGGTTTAGTCACCCACAGTCAACTGCGGTCCAAAACATATGAAAAGGAAAATTCCAGAAGTAAACAATTCATTAATTTTACATTTCACACCATTTTGGGTAGCATGATGAAATCTCACACTGTCCCACTTTGTCCCCAAAAGTCCTAAAGTCCACCAAGAACACCAGCTCATCCCTTTGTCCAGTGTATCTACTCTGTGTATGCCACCAACCTATAGGTCACTTAGCTGTCTTGGTTATCAGATCAACTGTTAGGTGATTTCGGTGCTTGTGTACAGAACTGGGTACTATCCATAGTTTCAGGCATCCACTGAGGGGTCTGAGAAGGTATCCCCTTTGGATAAGAAGAGACCATGTAACTATCTCCTTGCCAGTAGATGTGAGTGAAGACAGAGGCCAAGAACCTGGCCCTGTTGAAGTTTTCTATTGGAGAAAGTGTGAGACTTAACTTGAGGCCTGGGTTACTAGAAGATAGGAAGCAGAGTGTGGACCAGAGGGAGTTGAGAAGCCAAGAAATATGTCACCATTATACCAAGCCACCACCGGGGTTAAGCCTATAACGTCTCTTGAGATGGTCGCAGGGACACCCTATGTGTGTAACATAGGAGCCAGAAAACTAGCCTCCATGCCAAAGATTTTTGGCAGAACATAGCTATATTTATTCATTCATGTACTATCCGATCCTGTCTTTAAATTTTTTTTTCTCATTAAGTTTATTGGTACATTTTCGGTATAAAATACAGTTACATTCATCATTGGGATCTTGTACCTTTACATGAGTATCTAGGTTCTTATTTTTTTCCCCTTCCCTTGCCCTCCCTTCACCCCCTCCACCAATCCCTATTTGCAAAGAACTTGTTTCCATTTTTTTTCCTCTTCTCATATTTTTTCCTTTCCCTTTTTTCCCT